TGATTGTGCAATAGTGTTTTATCGCTTTGGTTCGTTGTTTAGCACTGTTAAGGCTAAGGAAAATCAAACTCATGAACTTTCCAAATGATGATTTCTCATTAAAATAGCGAATTGTATAGTGATTACATAACGTAAACCCTAACATACAAGGGTTATTGGAGTTGACCGGTTTGACTTGTTGACTTTGTTTGACTTTGACTTGACCGAAATTTGACGGTTGTCACAACCATCGATGGGGTGGTCGTTGGTATGAAGGAGGATCAGTTCATGCCTAGGGCAAGGCGGGCAATATTGTCGGAGAGTATCTCCCTCTTATGGGAGGAGGACCCTTGGGGTCCGAGGTGAGGATAGGCCTGTGTAGCTCTCGATTGAGTGAGACCCGTAGGCGTGGCCCGTACGTTGGTACAGATTGGGTGAGACTTGTGGGCAAGGCCCGTATGGTTATTTCAGTGCGGGTGAGACCCAGTAAGGACCGGTTGAGTCAAGGTATTGGATCATGGTTAGAGTGGGATGTCTATGTGGTTAGTGAGTGGCATAAGAGCGATGCATAGGCTAGGGTAGCATTATCAGTTAGACTCTCAGGCACTTGGTGGCCGGACCGGGTGTAAGGTTGGCAGTCTCAGCGGTGGATCGAGGATTATTATATCCTAGTTTAGTGAAAGGTCGCCGTGAATTAGATGATTTCAGGTGAAATACAAGTGTAAATTCTTGGACCTCAGGTTATGAGTTTTGTACTGGGTTGGCTTTTAGCCGAGACTCGCATGGGAGTCGTGAGTGTATATATCCAAGATCCTTACTTCGACAAGTTTAGGATTAAGGAATCTGTATGACAAAGGTATCAGTTGGAGGGTTCAGCGTCAAAAGGACATTTTTAGTTCTGATGGTAGTAAGAGGCACTTGTTGTTATGTTTCGAAATGGTTCTACCTGTGTGGAGGTCAGGCAAGTTATGGGGCTTCAGAATTATAGCTATAACGTATTGGTTCAATGGTTGAAGGATCAGTGATTTGCTCAACATTAGGAGGTTTTGTTCGCAGTGTTGGTTTCCAGGAGGGTGGTAAGGGTGATTTCGAGGACGAAATCTAATTAAATTGGGGGAGAGTTGTAACACCTTGTTCTGAATCGTTTCTTAATTTGGGGCCATGACCCGAAGCTCGGTTATCAAACGGCTTAGGAACTTTTGGAAAGAAATATTCAGACCCCTTTGGGTGTGGTTAATGTAAGTTAGATGATCCAGGAGTTCGATTGGTGAATTGGAGCCCAAGGGTATAACCGTAAATTGGAAGTTCGGATCTTATATGAATTTTGGATTTTAGTTTGGAAATTTTTATGGCAAGGGGGAGTTGATAGAAGTGTATAGCTTCTCATTACCTTTCCATGGATATAAGGATTGTTGGAATCAGAATTAGAATGAAGAAGTTATGACTTTCGGAAATTGATGACTTTAAGGCTAAGCCTAGTATGCAGGCACCTCATGGAGTACATTGGGAATACTGGGAGTATGTAGGGTGTACTCTAGACTCATGTAAACCATAATTTAGGGTCTTGGACCCTATTTAATGATCTTAACTCAACTCCAATCCCCTTATCTTCAGCCTCCATCCCATTTAACCCTAGATTCGAAACCCTAACTTCCATTTGAGCATTTTGAGGTTTTTGGTGTGATTTTGGTGTGCCTTGGTGAAGAAGGAGTTCTTGTTGGAAGCATTGCTTTGATTGGAGCTTCATCAACTTGCAGGAGGCATAAAGTTTCTAACTTGATAACTCTGTGTGTTAGATCTAGTCTAGGGTATGTTTTGGGTTTATTTTGGTCCTAAAAGTCATCCTTGTGAGTATGAGTTACTCCAAGAGCTTAGAATGTTGGATCATAGCACTTTTGATGTTGTGGGTGCATAAAAATGTCATCTTGATGGGTTTGAGTGAGTTATGATTAAGTTTATGTTAATATTATGGGTTTAGAATTATAAAAACGAGCTTTGGGTCCCCTTAGGGCATGCAAGGAAGTAAAGTTGGAAACTTTATGGTTTAAGACCTTATCCTAGGGATCATATTTGTGTTTGGACAACTTGACTTAACCTAATAAGAGCTTAATATGGATTTTTGGCCTTTGATGAGTACATTAGGCGTACGTAGGAGTACGCTCAGCATAATGCATGTATCATGCATCGATGATTGTACGTGGTGCTTTAGGGGCGAGTACGTGGTGCGTACATTCCTAGTACGCACTGCGTAGTCCCTAGGGTATCTATTTTGCGCTTTTTAGGGGTTGGGCTTTGTTGGGCCATTGAACTTCTGACTTTGGGACATGGATAGAATATGGGATTTCTTGGTTTTGGGTCCATGATGATTTTGGCCCCAATTTAGAAGTTGGGCCCTGGGATGCCATTTAGGAATTTGGGCCTTTTGAGCAACGGTTTGGGCTTTGGTTTTGCGCAGATAAAGGGTAAAATAGTCTTTTACCCTGGATATTGGACAAGTAGCTTAGATTCTTGATCATGGGTCGAAATCCAATTATTAGTTGGATATTATTTGATGATGTTCGTGCATGGATTTTCCAGACCAGCATATCGAGATTTATCTGAGAGATTCAGCAGCTAGAGGTGAGTTTCCTTCACTATATGTGTGGGTCGAAGGCACCAATGTCGGCCTATCAGTTTATGATGTAGTGTGATGATTGTCTTTGTGACAGTTGTCAGTTATGCCTGTATTCGCTTGATGACTCTGTGATTCCTGTTATGATATTATGTGCTAGTAGTAGGGGTGAAACAGACCCAATATCCGATTGAAATAGACCGAAGGGGATTGCAAGCACCCATATATGCTTAACAGTATCCGGTTGAAATAGACCGAAGGGGTAGGAAAGCACCCAGATATGCTTGATAGTATCCGATTGAAATAGACCGAAGGGGTAGGCAAACACCCAAATATGCTTGGCAGTATGTTTGTATGGTATGTGGTATTCTGGGGAACTCACTAAGCTTTATGCTTATGGTTTTCAGTTAATGTTTCATGTACTTCTGGTTTGAAGGGGAAGAGCCCGAGATGATTGCAATGCACACACCACATCGCTCCACATTTTTATATTACTCTGATGTACTTGAATGTTATTGATACACTTTGATTCATCATGATTCATCATGATTTTGTTTTGGATAAATGTTTTATTAATTTCAAAATCGAAATTTTTAGTCTTAATTATTGGGGTGTTACATAAGTAGAAAAATCAGGATTGTGTTTCATTTTTTTGCGTCAAGGTGTCGTGTCGTCTGTTTATTTTGTTTGGGGACAATGAACATTTCTCATGAAAATTTCTAGAGTTCGATGCATGACTAATGAGTCGGGTCCAAGGTTGTCAAGATCAAGATCCTATATATAATCGTTTTTTTGTTTTTCATATCATGATTGTAAGATCGGATCACGATCCTAATATCCTACCAAAATTATATAGTTATAAAATTAAAACATAAAAAGTACATCACCATCTACCGGTTGATTATTAAGAAGTTATTTAAAGTTCAAACATTAGTGATACATGATGTATATGATCTATTCTAATATAATAAATGGTGAAATGTTGCAGAAACATGTACCAACCAATAGTCGAATATGTCCACCTTGATAATTTATGTACAATCGACCATGTGGAACTAGTTAGCATATGGTAGAGCACAACCATAGCTTTTTATATTCATAAGCTTTGATCTTAATAGTTTCTTCCTAATATTCCATTTGATTTTTGAGTTGCTTCTTGATTCTTTTTTGATTTTCTTCTGATTCTTTGTTTGATTTTTGACGGTATGACAGGTTTCTCGGGTACTTGAAGTGAGAAGGCTTTTTGTTTTTTGTTTTTTCTTTGTTTTTTTTTGTTTTTTTATATACTTTTTACATTACCCTTTTAATCCTTATGATTCAAAAAGGTTAAAATAATATGTACAAAACTATTAGGTATGATTGGATCGGATCCCGATCCCAAATACAATATTATACGAGACTCGATCCTAATATGATCCATATTATTTTTTAGAGGTAGGATCGTTAGCTCGTAAAATCCTATGATTAGGATTTGGATCTTGACAGCCTTGGTCGGATTGTCCATACATTATAACTAGTCGTGGTCATCTCCCTGCTTACTCTCACACATCATAACCTGTTGTACGACTCATGTAATGAGTTGTCTCATGCTCACCCTTAACAATCTGGTGCTATAAACAAATCTTACACGACAACAATGTACACAACAATTTTGTGTCATGAATAACAATGATATATATATATATATATATATATATATATATATATATATATATATAT